CCTTTCACTCGATTGTTGCTCAGGCGGCCAACCACGCCCCACCACACCCCACGCGCCCTGCCCAAAATCCTGTACGCTGGAACACTCCACTCCATTTTGATTGTTTCGCAGAAAAAAAAGACACTCAATAAAACATTGGCGACAGCAAATCACCTAATTACTAAATCAATTTTTCACAGCTATATTTTTTTATGTTTATGATTTATTTATCTTTAAGCCCCTAGATGCTCCTCTGCTTGCTGCGCTCTAACTCTAGCATGAAACAGGCACCGTCGCACATGGCACAACACGCGCGCGCGCTCACACACACACACGCACACACACACAGAGTGCCACCACCGCGAGGCAACCCGCAACCCTGTAATTACCCGTAATTAGAAACTTAGCAAAATAAAGTTGTGTTTTATGTGACCGTGGTTCGGTCGGCCTAGGCAGGCCGCTGGCCCCTGTGGCCTTTCTCCGGGCGTCAAACTTATCACGTATAAAGGCAAAAAGTGATACTAATAAGATTAGCGCACGCGACAATCATAAGAATAATAACGAGAATAAGAATGCGAGTTGCGGGAGAAGTAAGCACGGCAATGTCGATCGGCCGAGCCTGCCGCCGCTATTACGAATGCAAATTAGACCGAGTGGTCAAACGGCGCGCCATCTAGCGGCGGCCGCGCGCACCGACTATCGAAATGGTGAAGACCATTTATACGAACGGAAACCCTTATTCCCGTACAACAATTACTGTGTGTGTGTGTGTGTGTGTGTGCCGGTAGTGTTTTATGACCGGTAATTTCCATCCCCCCACGCGCGCTATCGAAACGGCATGGGAACTGTTTTGGCTTCGGCGCTCCAATTTCGTTTCTCCTCTATCCTCCGCCTTGAGGTATTCCAAGGAAGGGTGTCCGGTACACTAGAAAACCAGAGATTGAAACACGTCCGCGGGGGCTGCGCCTGGCTGCCACGCCACTGCCGCATTGTCCGGCCGATGGGGACGTCTCCAGAAATGCTTCGGCATTATCGATTTCATGCGGGAAGGCGTTGACGTCGCCAGGCACGGCCCTCTCGAAAAAGAGTTTCAATCTTTTCTGACATCTGTTGCAGCCAGCAGAGCCAGCGCCATCATCTTTTATGTAGTACCGTTCTTGTACCTGATCGGACAGTAATAGCACTTGAATCTCACCGGATCCTTCTCTCTGTTGCTCTCTCTCTCTCTCTCTCTCTCTCTCTCTCTCTCTCTCTCTCTCTCTCTCTCTCTCTCTCTCTCCTCTCTCTCTCTCTCTCTCTCTCTCTCTCTCTCTCTCCGGCAGCGAGGCAGCCATGAACACCACATAAAAAGCAATTTCACAAAATGCATCGCGGAGGTTAATTGAGTATCGATACTGCTCGGTAAAGCCCCTGATTGGCTGAGCGGGGTGGGGTTCTTGTCCCCGGTTGGATCGGACTGATTGCCGTGTTGAAAAACAAAGAGGCTGTCTTCTCAGTCCGGGGTTCGAATCCTCACTCAGTCGCGCCGCATTTGACTTTTCATATTTTTTTTATTTTTTTGTGTGCCGTGGTTACGTCTTGACCACAGCGAACTATCACACGTTTAAAAAAAACAATCAACAATTAGCTCCTTTTTTTGGGAGAGTAGCGTCCATTTTTTTCATTTGCGGCCGACGAGGCGTCGTCACGCTACAGTAGTATACCGGGTCACCGCACGCGACGGACGCCCACGCTACTCTGTCAGAAAATAATTAGTCATCCTATGTGTGTGTGTGTGTGTGTGTGTGTGTGTTTTAGCTCTTTCTGCTGGCAGTGTAGTATGACTCTGTCCATCTGTGGGTATGACTGGGCGCGGCACGAAGGTAAAGGCACCGCAACGCTTCGGCCCCACACCACCAGGGCGCAGCACTGTATGGCCACCCGCGACGCACTTACCACTACACACACACACACACACACAACACACACACGAACACGCCATAACGCACCGGATGCTGGGTGGGTTCGATTCCCGCTGGCGTCAGCTGCGACAGGACTTTTCCGTGAGGGGCTGCTGGCGCCTGCCCGGCCGGTGTGGGAAGATTCCCCCTCTCGACTGCAGGTAGCCCCACTGGTAGCCCCCGCTTCCCAAACGTATGATCTACTCGCCGTATGTGTGCCGTGTGGGAAACAGGTGGAGCGGGGCGGCAAGGCCTGAATCCAAATGGCTCACTTCAACCCCGCTCCTGCCGGTGTAGTTGCTGTTGTTGCTGTTGTTGCCGGAGCCCGATGGCGCCTCTCTTCGACACGTAGCGGCAGCCTCTCACTCACTCCGCCTCTCCCTTTCGCTCTCTCCCTCCCACCGAAAAAGACAAGAGGGAAAAAGAAGGAGGAAGATTGATGAAATGCTGGAGCGGTGTCAATGCGGACCATCTCACTGTGTCCCCCCCTCCCCTTTTCCCTCTCCTCCGCCCCTCGGTTTCCAATCCCCTGCCGAGCATTGGAGAATTCGGGGCCGAGACGTGCAGACTCCCATACCGCCGGGGAGTCCCAGGGAGTCACACCCCGCCCACCACATTCCTGTCGCGATGGAACTGGATTGCCGAAGTCTCTCTCGCACCTGTGCGCACGGGACGACCCCGGAGAGAGGAGAGAGAGAGAGAGAGAGAGAGAGAGAGAGAGAGAGAGAGAGAGAGACGAGAGAGAGACGAGAGCCTCCACACCGACAGGAAAATTACCCAACCATTTTAGGTTCAGCCCCTACTCAAATTGGGGCATTTGGATGACTTAAATATGATCCAAACCCTTTAAAAATTGAAGATGAATAAACAAAGTTCAATTTTTTTCCAGTGCAGGGGGCGGACTCAGGGCAGGACGGCGTGGCGGGGAGTGGGCGTGGACGTCGAGGTGCAGGCGAGCGCCTGGCAGGCAGGCAATCCAACGTACACCCCTGCGAAGCGTCGAGCGTGCCTCGGCGGCGCTCGTCCCGGCTGTCTCGGGTTCGACTCCCGCCGGTCGTGGATTCGTTTTCCCGGCGGTTGCGGGTTCGACTCCCGGCAAGGTGACGCCTCCCAGCCCGTTCGGCCTGCTGGCCCCGCGGCACAGTGGGCCAGAAGACCGGTGGAGGCGGTCAGAATCCCGGACGCGTTTTGAGCTCCAGAGTCGCTTAACAGGACTCGAACCGAACGTGTGACCCAGCAATGGATTCCTTGCTCGGAGAGCAATCCATTGGTGGGGTCACAAGATCGGTTCGAGTCCTGTTTAGAGACTCTGGAGCTCAAAACGCGTTTCGTGCGCTGCTGTCCTCCTCCAAGATCTCCAAGATGGCGACGCGAGGGTGGCGCTAGTGGCGGGCAGGCGCTCGGGCTGGCGCTCGGGCTGGCGGGTGAGGCGAGAGGTTTCACAAATATTGACCCTGGGGTAATTTCCCTGTAATTAGTGTGGCTGGTGACCCTGGGCGGCGGAGCGGTGCAGTGTTCCCAACCCCAGCGTCTTGGCGACCAGCAAACATGCCCCGGGAACACATCCCCGGCGTTCTGCGACTCGACATTATGTTCCTGTTGATTTAGTGAAACACCACCGGGAAATGAATTGAGGTTCGCGGTTGGGAATACGAAAACGGCTCTGGAGATTTCATTTGACCCGGAATTTCACACGCGATTCCAGATGCTCTGGAAACTCCCGAGTGGTTTCCCGCACGGATTTTCCAGTGATTTCCGCGATTCCTTTTCTTCCCGGACGAGTGCGGGTGACCCTTCGGGATAAGCCTGCTGATTCGGCGAGCGCACGGAGTGAAACGACTTAGGCCCGAGTCGCTGGGCCCCGAACCGCTCCGTCTCTCTCGCACCCGTGCGGCGTGCGGAGCGCGCCCCGTGAGTGCGAGAGAGACGGCGAGAGACCGTGGACGTCCGGTGATAATGCTGTTTGCCGAAGCCTCTCCAGGGCCCGGGCTAAGATGCTCCAACATTGATGCTGCTGTGGTCACTGGCTCGCGCGGCCTCCAGCGGCCTCCAGCGGCCTCGACTAGCCTCGGCCTCGGCCACCCAGGGCTTTGATGGCCTCTACGCCCGCATGCATCGCTGGCGATCGCCCATCCGCTTTTACGCCAATGGCCGTTTTCACTGTCAGCAACCCCTCCGGTCGGTCGGCCCGGCCAGCTCCCAATATTTAGAAACTTTCCAATGAACGGCGACAAAATAATACGGAAACGTCTCTTTGAAAAAATGTGGGCACCCGAGGCCTGGTGCAGGGCTGGTGAACGCTTGAAAAAGCTTCGAATGTCGTCGCTGTCTCCGGTCAGTCCACGTTGAGAGGGTCCGCACTACATGAACTCTGCAAACTGCACAGAGTGCTCAGTACACTCTATTTGGAGTGTACTCATAAGCACACTCCTGTGAGAGTGTGCTCAGCTGAGTACACTCTAACGAGAGTGTGCTTAGCTGAGTACACTCTAACGAAAGTGTGCTATGCTGAGTACACTCTAACGAGAGTGTGCTTAAGTCTGCACAATTCATGCAGCTGAGTACACGTTCGTGGGAGTGTACTCGTGAGTACACGCTGAAGAGAGTGTACTCATGAGTACACGCTAAAGATAGTGTACTCATGAGTACACTCTAAAGAGAGTGTACTGAGTACACTTTTGAGTTTGCAGAGAAGGTATTTCTTCTGGGCCCTTTTTCTGAGTTCTACGAGGCCTTTGCGAAAATCACAAAGGCGGGTTTTGGTTGTTTACTAAACGCTTCGACATCACCGGCCAGCCGGACTGCTGCTCCTGCGCCAAGCCGCGTACTACTGCGCAGAGGACCTTAAAGACCCATCGCTTGGAATAATGGGACATCTCCCCCACCCCCTGACTCCCCTCCCCTCCCCTCTCGCGCTCCTCACCGCGCGTTCTCATCAGCCCCAGTCATAATTGCAATATGCTTCGAGTGATAACGTATCCAGCAAACCTACGTCGCCAACATCAACAACAACATCGTGATGATAGTTTGCGCCAATTAGCTGGTAAATCGACTCGACGACGACGACAGACACAGAGAGAGAAGGAGAAGTGTTTATTGGAGAGATTCGCAGTGCCGGGGTCATAACGTGGATTCTTTGATTCCTTTGGCGAAGTCGGTCGCCGCCTGCGGAACCAAAAGCACGACTCATGGACACGGCACGGAGCGAACAGTAACAAAAGCAACAACAACAATTCACCTTGGGGGGCGGGTGCAGGAATCGGCGGATGGCGGGCGAGAAAAGCCTCCTGTCGACGGCGGCCTCGGAGCGGCAGAGGAGCGACACGGCGGTGGCCACCACCAGGGACACGACCACGCCGATCACGGGGTACCAGTGGTACGACACCCGGAACAGCCACATCGGCAATCTGAAAAGAAAAAAATAATTGAAAAAATGCATGTTGTTGTTGTTGTTGTTGTTTTTGTTTTTGTTGCTGTGACGGACTACTGACTGCGGCTCGTGGACGGCGTGCGGCGTGGTGGCGTTGAACGAGTAGGTGCACCCCTGGACGGACACGGGCTTCTCCGGGAAGAGCAGGTCGCCCCGGGCGATGGCGTGCTGCGCGCTCAGCACCAGCCACGCCATGAAGGACAGCCCCGCGCCCGCGCCCGCCAGGCAGCCCTGGGTTCCAAAAACAGAATTCACCTTAGTTTGTACTTACTTGTACCAAGACTTGCACACATTCGTGTTTTAGGAATTGAAAATTTAAAAAAATTGCATTTTTTTACATTTTTAAAATTTAAAATTTTTTACATTTTTAAATTTAATTGTTTGTTTTTTTTTAATTTTTTAAAACCAAAAAATTTCATTCTTAAAATTGCAGATTGGCCCTTGCCAATGACGAATTTTGCGGTGCACTGACCGTGGCGTTGACCCAGGGCATGAAGGCACCCCCCACGAAGACGGCGAGCACGGGGCCGGCGGAGATAGAGTTGAGGCTGCCGGACAGCTGGAGGACGACGCCGAGCCTCTCCACGACGAAGACCAGGCCGACGCACACCACGCCGAACACCACCACCACCAGCCGCATGACCATGTTGACGCTCGCCTCGCTCGGCGGCGTCCTGGACAGCGGCCGCCAGAAGTCCTCCACCACCACGGCCGCCATCGAGTTGAGCCCCGTGGACAGCGAGCTGCGCAGCCAGCGGCCCAACCGGTGTGAGTAGGGTTGCCAACCTCTGCCCACCTATTGCGACTTCCAGGCTCGGGTTGGCAACCCTTGGAGTTTTCGCCTACCTTGGGGTTGGTGACCTACCTCAGCGCCGCGCTGAAGACGCCGGCCACGAAGAGTCCGGGCAGCCCGGGGTACATGCCGAGGGTGTCCATGACCAGCAGTGGGAGCACCTGGTCCTTGGCGCGCGCCAGCTGGGAACGCGAACAAACATGAAAAATTATCACAACCAAAAGTCGAAGTTTGTTTACCAGTGCAGTGCTGGCGCGATACCTTGGTGGTGACGGGGTCGCAGTCGTGGTAGGAGGCAAAGATGAGCAGGCCACAGTACGTGCACACGGCGAACAGAAGCAGGCATCCCAGCACGAAGAAGGCCGCCGCCCTGTGGTGGCATCAACCACACTGAGCTGGCGCTGCGCACAAAGGGCCAGAAGACCGGTCGAGGCGGCCAAAACTCTAGACGCGTCTTGAGCTCCACAGTCGCTAAACCGGACTCAACCCGGACGTGTGACCCCACCAATGGATTGCTCGTTCGGAGAGCAATCCATTGGTGGGGTCACACGTTCGGTTCGAGTCCCATGAGACTGTGGGGCTCAAAACGCGTCCGGGACTTTGCCCACAGACAGGCGATGCCCACCTCCTGGCCTTGCCGATGTCCGGCAGCGCGAGGTACCGCTGCATCATGGCCTGGCTCAGGCCGCAGCTCACGTTCTGCGAGAAGAAATGGCCGAGCGTGTACCCCCAGAACGTGAGCCGGACGAACGGGTCCAGGCGGAAGCTGGCGAGAAAACATTGGAATAAGAGAATTTGCTAATCAAATCATTGTTTATTTTTTAAACGCTGGAATGATTAAGGTGATCGTAACACGGGTTCTCTGAGAGGTGAGGTTAGGAGAGGTTAGGTGAGGTTAGGTTTGGTTGGCTTAGTCTAGGTCAGTGAGACTCACTCTGGCGGCTCGATGCGTCCGGACTCGAGATTCCGCTGGAAGACCACCGAGGCTCCGCCCACGTTGAACGTGCCCCGGATGGCCACGAGGAAGATGCACAGCAGCATGGACACCGTCTGCACCACGTCGGTCCACACTACTGCCTTCATGCCGCCCTGGGGACCCAAACAAGTTTTTATTAACAAACAATTTTTTTTTAACACTAATTGATTTTTTTTAATGCTTGTCACTCACCACGCAGGTGTAAAACACGCAGACGATGCAGACTGCCGGAGTCACTATGTGCACATTGATGCCAGTCACTGAAATTTAAAAAAATATTCAATTTTCAAATTAACATTTTTTTTATATTTTTTTTTTTTGAAAAGCCGCTGTACCTTGATTGAAAGCCAACGCCGGGACGTAGATGACGATGGGAAGCCACGTCAACTGTAAGGTGGCATGATTATTGAATCTAGCAGACAGAAGCACACCCGTCTATCGACAGCACGTACCAGAGAAATGGTGAAGAAAACCGAGCCGAACAGCCGGACTCGACGGTCGAACCGCATCTGCAAATACTGAGCACGACAACACTGCACAGTGGGCCAGAAGACCGGTGCGGTGGTGGCGGTCAAAATCCCGGACGCGTTTTGAGCTCCAGAGTCGGTAAATGGGCCTCGAACCGAGCGTGTGACCCCACCAATGGGTTGCTCTCCGAACGAGGAATCCATTGGTGGGGTCACACGTTAGGTTCGAGTCCTGTTAAGCGACTCTGGAGCTCAAAACGCGTCTAGAGTTTGTGTCCGCCTCCACCGGTCTTCTGGCAAATCCGCTATGAGTGCGTACCTGGTAGAGCGTCATGAGCTGCAGGTCGTGGAAGATGGGCAGCACTGCCCAGTTGAAGACGGCCAGCCACATGAGCATGCCCCCGAAGGCGTAGAAGGGCTGCACCCCGAACACGTACACCTCGGTGGGGAGGCCCAGCAGGGTGATGCCGGAGATGTAGCTGAGGGCAGGAAGGCTGAGATCACACACTGTCAACATTTCAGTTGTGAGGGATCCCACTTGATAAAGACGACATCATTTAAAAATTAAAAAATTAAAAAAATAAAAACGGCAGTTATGTGAGAATTGAACCAAGAACCTTCTGCACCGCCCGTCGAGGGGCTAACCATTGCGCTACTTGCCTCGCGACCAGGGACAGCGAGATGGGCAGCACCTGCATCTTGCGGCCGCCCATCAGGTACTCGTCCTCGTCGTGCTGGCCGGGCGCGAAGTAGCCGAAGTACACGCCGATGACCGCGCACAGCACCAGCATGGCCACGAACACGAGGTAGTCCGGCCAGGCGAAGCGCTGCAGCGCCAGCCCCATGGTGGCCACGTCCTGCACCGGCCCTGCCAAGGGGAAATTCATTTCAGTTGAATTTCGGGCAAAAACTTCTGAATTTTGGGAAGAATTTTGACAAATTTTAATTAATTTTAGCAAATTTGAAATTTTGGATTAAGTTTCTCTTACAAGTTTGGCTAGAGTTCTTTTCCCTTGGGCCCTGCTGCCAACAACAACAAAAAACACGTGCCCAAATCAAGGCAGAAAAACAAAAAATTTAACCTGCTGAAAATTCAATTTTATCAGTAAGCAAACACTTTTTTCGCGTTCAAGGACCGAACTAACCGGTCGCCTTCCTGGAATTCGGCCTGGAAGCGTCTCATTTGGACGTCAAAAGGCGGATTCGGCGGACACGCCAAGGCTTACCTGTCATGCTGGAGATGCAGCCGGCCGCGCGGCCCTAGCTGGTCTGGAGGCCCTTCTGGTCCACGAGAGGGGCCGCCCCCCGCCGCCCCCCTCCCAAGCCGGCCGGCCCCGTGGACAGGAAGCGAACTGGAGCAGGACTTTTGTCTCCATGGAGACGGACGCGTCATGACTATTTCCGAACGCGGACGCGCGGACGCGAACGGACGGGCAGACGAGCAGACAGACGGGCAGACAGACGGACGCGGCACAAGTGAATAAGTGGTTTGGTGGTCAGAGGAGAGCGTCAGGACTTAGGATGCATCCTTTGGCCCAGTCGTTGGCCCAATACGGCACTCTGACAACATTCGTCTCGACTGTACCAGTATTTTAACAAGCGTTGTCTAGTCTGTCTGTCCGTCTATCTGTCCCGGGAAAGCGAAGAAAATCCGTACAGTCGACGTGCAGTGTCTCGATATCTCGATCCAGTATCCGCAAAAGATTCAAATCTGGCGCCACTCCAGCCTGGCAGTCGGCAACCCTAGGCTGCTGCCTCGGACGCGCTCCGTTTTAAATGGTGATTACACATCCACGAATCGATCCCGGCGGTCGCGTCCGAGCGAGCGGTCACTTTTGGCTTTGCATGCTTTGCATGAACGTGGTGACTTTTCGGGCGCCGCCTTCTAATCAGAACGGCCTCTACATCATCCCTTGGCTTTGAGAGGCAAAGGCGCCGCCGGGAAGGATCGGGAAGGCGGTGAAGACGCACGCCGCAAAAATGCCGCCGCCGCGCCCCTTTCGCCCTTTTGGTTATTCGTCAGGTAATTAACAGTGGCGCCACCGGCAGCGCTGCCGTCGCCTTGGCCGTCGCCGTGACGGATGCGAGATGATGATCGACTGCTGATCGAGATCTCGCGGTGTAAATTGAAACTGGAAATCGAGACAGGGAATGCCCCTCCTCTCTTTCTTCCTTTCTTTCTCTCTCTCTCTCTCTCTCTCTCTCTCTCTCTCTCTCTCTCTCTCTCTCTCTCTCTCTCTCTCTCTCTCTCTCTCTCTCTCCCACTCTCTCTCTCTCGGGAAGGTCCAAGAAGAATCGTCTTTTTTCCCGTGTGAGATTGCGAGCCATTGCGCTGCCAGGTGTTGCCATAGGCCGGCACAACCGAACGGCGATCACTTAATCGCCAGTTTGGTGTGCGCTCGGGTTGGTAAGGGCGTGGCGGGGCGGGGCGGGGTTGGGCGGGGCGGGGCGGGGCGGGGCGGCCCGGGGGGTGAGCCCACAAAAATGCAGGGTTCCCTAATGTCTCCAATTTGGCCGGTAGCACGCGCCTCGGGGTAGTCAGTCGGATGGTTACGGCTGCCCCGCCACTTTGAAAGCAAGTTTTCTGTTCAAATCGGAACAAATCACGGAATTTTTTTTTATTTTTTTTTAAGAGGTAGCAGGACTTTTTTTGCGCGTTGTGGCTACTGAGGTTGGTACTAGCCTTGCCGTGCCTTGCTGCTGCCCGCTACGCGCGGTAGCTGGCAGGAGGTTATGTCCCATTGCTTTCTTCTGCAGTAAAACCTCGCAGGCTCCTAGTCTGCGGCAGTGCGGCGGCAGCGGCAGCAGCACACGTCCAAAGTGTAGTCCGTTGGTTCCATCAGTTTAGCGTCTTGCCTTTTGCCTTATTAAAATAATTGTCCCTCCCGCGTTTCCCCCACACACATAAATCTCTTTGCGCCGCGCAAAAGTGAAGGGAGGAGAAAAATACGCGTAATTTTGGCGCATGAAGAACTACCGCGACTGGCGTGCGTTTTAACTTACTGTGTGGTGGCGCTTTGCTCGCTCTGCTACCTACCTGCGTGAGAAGCGTTTTTGGGCGATTCCATGTGTGAAGTTCGTGCGCGCCTGCCGCCCTGTTTCCGAAGGTGGCGTCTCTCTCGCACCCTTGCGGGCCGCCCCGTGAGTGCGAGAGAGGCAGAGCGACGACCCTCACTTTGGAATCGGGCGGCAGGCACAAGCACCATTCCTGGCTAGGCGTCGTTTTAGGGAAAACTGGAGGCTGCACACTGCATTGTCCAGGCCAATTACGGACGCACGCACTCACACACACACACAACACACACACACACACACACACACACACTCACACACACTCACACAAGTGTGCGTGCGTGCACACGGGCTGTTCGACAGGCGAGCCCACTGGACACGCCGTCTTATGGGACTCAACTCGCAGCGACCTCTCCGCCGTAAAACTCGCGCTTCAGAGCACAGTGGGCCTGAAGACCGGTGGAGGCGGCCAAAACTCCAGACGCGTTTTGAGCTCTAGAGTCGCTAAAGACAGGACTCAGCGAACGTGTGACCCCACCAATGGATTGCTCTCCGAACGAGGAATCTATTGGTGGGGTCACACGTTCCGTTTGAGTCTTGTTTGGCGACTCCGGAGCTCAAAACGCGTCTATAGTTTTGGCCGCCCCACCGGTCTTCTGGCCCACTGTGGAGAGGCGAGCTACTCGAGTTTCGGTCCGTCCAGCCCCCCGCCCTCTACCTCTGCCCCGGTGCTAGGTTCCGCGTTAAAAAAGAACCCCTTGGCCAGGTCCGGCGCGCTGCCCCGCAGTGGCCCGCAGTGCCCTGGCCTCCTTGAGGCGGAAACGAGGCGCCATTAGTATGCTAAAATACATGATAAAGTTAAAACGAAGCAAGCAAGCCTAATGAAACAGAAGCACCGAGCAATTTCTGTGGAGTGGAATAGGCAATTACTGGAAGGGCTCTACAACCCCGACCCGGCGAGTATCTCGAAGTCTCGAAGTCTGGAAGGCGCGACTCACTCAAACTGGTCTGGAGTCCTCGCGTCAGCGGACGGATCCCGAGAGCCGTTTTCGTCGCTCTGTCTCTCTCGCCCTCGTGGGGCGTCCCGTGTGAGCAGTGCGAGAGAGACGGGGCAGCCTGCCGGCGTCCAGATGGCAGACCCGAGGGAATTACCGAATGGTCCTCGATGGTCCTCGATGCCGGAGCGATAGGCTAATCGGCCATCGGAATCCCTCTTGTCCTTCCCGCCTGCATCTCTTATTGGTTCCAGCCGATGCATTTTTTTTTACATCCTCGGGCGAACAATATTTCGAAGGGGCAGTGGCGAGCTTCCTTTTTTTCCTCCGTGTATTTGAGTAGTTTATTTTTCGGACGTAAAAAATGCGATTATAAAAACGTGGGCGGACATGTTCGTGAGCCGCTGCAATAGAGCTGTACCGTCTTCGCGGCCACCCTCGGCCCTTTGGGTCCCCCCTCCCCCTCACCCGTTTGTGGGGCAGTGCCTCCCTCGCTCCCTTTCCCAATCACCCCGAGAAGCACTCCTTTCCACTAAAAAAAACAGGAGAAAAAAGCGTGTTGGCGGTTATTTGGTTCGATTAATACGTTGGGCAACTTGGGTAAGATGGCTAGGTTTCTGTTGGAAAAAAGAAGAAAATAAGTGTCATGGGAAAGCACTCACTGATGCGTTTTGAGCTGCAAGTCGCTAAATGGGACTCGAACCGAACGTGCGACCCCACCGATGGATTGCTCTCCGAACGAGGAATCCACTGGTGGGGTCACACGCTCGGTTCGAGACCCATCTCAAAACGCGTCTAGAGCTTTGGCCGCCTGCACCGGCCTTCACTACACTGCGTTTTGGGTTTTGGCAGTGCAGGGTCACGGCAGCATTAAGGCCGCGCATAAGAAGACCGCACCAACAATGTGCGTCGGTCCCAAACTTTAATTAAAGCACTACCGCTACCCCCCAGAGCGGCACATGTCCCCGCCGGGCTGCCTCCGAACAGCAGCGCTCTCTCTCTCTCGCACTCACGGCGCGGGCCGCGGGGGAGCGAGAGAGACAGCGCGATGCGGCGCTGTTCGGGTTCAGTCCACAGCCCCAAGTAGTTATCCCCCTGGCCGACAGGGGGCACCGCGCTGCGCGGTGCGCTATACCAGCAAACAGCATGGGCCTCGACTGGCGCGCCTGCCGGGTAGGCAACCCATTCGACGCACCTGCGAGATGGGTCTCGGTTCGACCGGGCTGTGCTCGCCTGGTGAAGCCAGCCCTCGCCCAGACGGACCGGGAGACCTCCGTGAAGATGGCCCTACCCACTCAAGCACAGTTGACAAAACCGCGCTGACGACTCTGTCCGCATCGTGGACTTTTTACTGTGCACAGAACGCGGGTCGGTAACCACAAAGTAAGTCTGCTTCTTGACAGCGAAGCGAAGATATTGCAGGTGGCGAGGACACCCTTTAAACGCTGGTGCATCGTGAGAGTTTTTGCCTACCAGTGTGGCAGCACCGGGGGCGGCCACCGGGGAGGTGCGTGCGTAATTCGATTGCACCCAGCCCAACCCGCGCTCTGTCTCTCTCGCTCCCCCACGGCACGCCCCACGAGAGCGAGTGAGACAGCGCTTCTCCAAAAAAGCGAAGCGCGAGTCGCGGGACGCGTGGTGTTATTACCGGCGAGTTATTTATCGCGTGGCTGTCTGTCTCTCTCGCACCCCTGCGGAGCGCCCCGTGAGTGCGACAGAGACGGAGCGACGGAATCAGCCCGCGAGGGGCCGTGGCGTGTGTAAAGGGGTAGGTGTGATTCTCGCTCCGGATATTGCACTATTTCACCCGCTGCTTTCTCACTATGCCCGCCGTGCCGTGCCGAGCCGAGCCAAGACGGTTCATAATGAGAGCAGCGAGTGTAATTTAGCAATCTAGGCGGCACTTCTAGGCGGGACTACTTCGCGGCAACGTCGCCAATACCACACCGTTATTTATGCCTCACTGCAGGAGGAGGAGAAGAAGAACTACGAGTAGTAGAAGCAGAAGGATATGAGCAAGGAAAGCTGGGCTGGGACGGTGGAGGTGGTCAAAACTCTCGACGCGTTTTGACCTTCAGCCAGAGTATTCAGGACTCGAATCGAGCGTGTCACCCCACCATTGGATTCCTCGTTCGGTTCGAGTCCCATTTAGCGACTCTGCAGATCAAAACGTCTAGAATTTTGGCCGCCTCCACTCCGCGTGCGCGTTGGGTGGCCTACCCACCGGGCGGGGAGGCTCTCCGACAGCGCTCCGGACGGCGCTCTCTGTCTCTCTCGCACTCGTGGCG